AATTCCTAATCCATCCTTGTACTTCACCTTGGGACTTTTACCACAGGGCTTCGCATCCAATTTGGCTCCTATTTTAGATTACAGAGTTAAAATCCTAAGATTTTGCCTCCAGCCTGATTTGAACCGTTGACCTAGTCTGTGGGAGGTTAGCAGCTTTACCGTTAAGCTATAGGGCCCAACCCTATTTACTTATTATTTATTTATTTAACTTGTATAATATTAATAAACTTTTAATACAATAATCTATATTTTATATATAAGACAAACTTGATAACCTAAAATCAAATTTTAAGTTGTTTTAATGTACATTAGACTAATTTTTATTCAAGACAAAACATATATAAAGCTAAGTTTTAGACAATTCTATATAACAAATAAAATATATATACTGTTAACCCTCTCCAAACCAATTTTGTCAAAATCGATAACTTGTTATAATTAGTTAAAAACTGATCTACCAATTCTGTTCCTAATTGATATCTAATAACCTGCCATTTCTGATATCCAATAGCCTTTTTATTTTAAGTTCCTGATTTTTCAAATAAAGTTATAAAAGATCAGCCAATCAAAATGCACATACATATGATTTTTAAATATTATATATAATGAGAAAAGTCTATAAACATATACCAGTCATGTAAAATTGCATGTACTATACCTTAAATGAAAATCAGTAATTAGTATATGTCAACAATACATTTGGATTATATATGCCTATAAAACTATTATATATAAATTAAAATTTTAAAGTTCATCTTGGGTATTTCAAATTGAGTAATTGCCTAATACTAAATAACACTAATAAATTAAACTTTTGCATTGCACAGTAATATAAGAGGTATAACAGTCATTATTTTATTACAGCATATAATAGATTACTTAATATTTCATCAATCAAACAGATTAGAAATGGTCATTGTTATAAAAAATGTTGAGTAGTACTTTAGCTAGTAGTAAGTTAGTTACTTTTATATCATTTGAACTTAATAATGAACATTTATTAATACTAATTATATGAATCTTTATTAATACTAATTATTATATAAAAAATTCTTTAAAAGATAGCTTTGTAGCTTAGTAAAAGTATGGATGTGTAATATTTAAAAGTAAAACCTGTAATAATGCTTTCATGTACTTATTATAAAGAAATAAAAAAAAAGTCACATCTGTTTTTATAATAAGTAAAATTATTAAGGTTTGAAAAAGAACTGTTCTAATATAGTTTAAACCTGTCTTTCAGTCACTTCTTTTTGAACTTCTTTATAAATACAGAATTGTAGTTTGTATAAGGACTTTATTGTTATCCCACTATCATTAATCCTCTTATTAACAATTTTAAGAATACTATATAAAATATTCAACTGCTCCTTTTTAGCTAAAGATGATATCACAACTTCATCTTCTACTTGCTCTAATTCTGTAGCAGCTTGAACAACGTTTTCTTCATTAAATTACTAATATAACTTTTCATAGTCTTCAGCTTCTAACAAATCTTCTAATGACATTAAATTGCAAACACACAACATATTAATTACTTGCTGAAGTTCTCTGGCATCATTTGGATCTATAGACAAATATTTATTTATAGCTTTATTGTTATCAACAAAAGTAAGAAAACTGATAGGTGTTTTATCATTATCATGTAGGGATATAATTCTTATATGAAGCCAACAATTTTTGATTGTTTTGGTGTTTATCAGCTTTATCATGATTTATTGCACATTGAATTTGCATATGCTAATAATAAAGTTTAAATGATGCAATAATATTAGCATCTATTGGCTGTATTTTTGATGTAACATTTGGAGGCAGTAAGAGCACCTTTATATAGTATTACAAATTGGCAATTTTTCAATCAATTAGTTGATTAATTATTATTTTTTTTTAATTAACACCTAGCTGCAACTTATCAATTAATCGATTAGTTAATATTGACTAATTAATTAATCAATTAGTATCATAATATACTGACTAAAAGACCTAGAATCTAATATAAAATATCTAAAAAAACTTATAATATATTCAGAGTATTTTGGCTATTACTATGTCAAAATTTTGGAATTTTACTAGAATTGTATAATTTTATACTATATATTATACCTAGGTATTTACAAAATGTGTACTCAAAAAGAGGGTTCTTTAGTTAGTGCACTACAGTAGCAATTTTAATTGATTAGTTGTGATTCAATTTGTAATACTATCTTTATATTAGTTATCATAAAAGCTTTAGTAATATATAAAGAGGTATTGTCGAAGATTAGTAAAATATAATGGTTTGATTCTCTCATTTTTTTATTTAATCATTTTATCCATTTTTGAAAAAACACAGCAGTCATTCAAGTCTTTTTATTATTACAATAATAAAATCTAAGCTCTTCTCTAGTTTTTTTTTTTGAAGCATTTAGGTTTTTTTGCATGCCTAATAAAAAAAGGTTGAAGCTTGTGGATGCTATTAGCATTAGCTGTAAACATGATAGTAATTTTGATGCAGGCTTTTTTTGACTTTTTAATTTGATAAAACACAATTGTATAATCAGAGGCCATAGCATAAAACAAATCTGTCTTATCCATATTGTAAATGTCTTGTAGGAGTATTAATCAGTAGTACAAATAATATTAGAAAAGTTTAAATTAATTGCAGCAATATTTGCAAAATCACTTTTGTTATGCAACTTAAAATGATGAAAGTTGTATCTTTTCTGAAAGGCTTGCAACCATCTATTGAAAAACTTGGGTTGGATACTTTCAGAAATATTCATTAGTTCTGCTAATCGTTTTGCTATAGCTTTAATTATAACTTCACTCAAATATATAGACTAATGTTCACACTGTAAAACCCAATTTGCTAAAGCAGTATCTAGTTCAGGAAACATAACAATATAACATTTTTTAATACCAAAATCATTTGAAGACATTTCATTAAACTCTTTTTTTTTTTTAAAATAGCTGAGATTGTGCTTTGATCTGAAGCTTTTAATAACTTAAATTTATTTTTAGCCCATTCTGCAAGTTTTTTTTGGATAAGTTTTGGATTAGCTTGGTAATAGTCACATATTAATTTTCTTTGTTCATTATACAAATTTCTAGTAAAGATGACCTTATCTTTTTTTTTTACCTATTATAATGGCAAGATAAAAGTTAAAAATTATAATTAAAGGTAATATTTAGTATTTTATTTTATTTTAATACTAATTGTAATAAATATTGAAGGCAAAACAATTTTATAAAACATTAAACTAAAAGTAATATTTTGAATCTTATTAATAGTAAAATATGAATTTTAAACTGGGTTTTATTAATACAATTTTTTTTTTTTTTTATTAATTTACAATATTCATTAAATTATTTGGATATGATTTTTTATTTGAAGCTATCTTTTAACCACTGATTACAGCAATTTATTATTCTTGGTATCATAATAAGAGTTTTTTCTTTTCTATTTTAAAGCATTTGATCTTATTATTTTTATGAATTTGATACTAATATTTTATATATTTCATTCACAATTTTGTTTTTTTTTAATTACTTTACTTTTTAGATTAGTATCAGGTTATTTATTACATTTTTAGGATCATAGTAATCATTATAAATGATTACTACAAGATCTTTATATAAGTTTTATTTTAGTGGTATGGTTTTAATAGCATGATTCAATAGCTTATTGTTTATAGTCTAAAAACAGCATGCTAAATTAAGTCAATTAGAAAGTGCATCCATGTGAATGCATAATTGTGTTAAAAAAATTCTGGTATTACAAGCACCTGTATTATTGCATAGTATTTGGAATTCAGATATTTACAATTATATTATTAAAAGACATTAGGGCTTCAAGTTATTACTAATAGACTCAAGCATTACTTAAATGTGTGCTAGGCTTATTGCACAACAAAAATTTTTTAAAGCCTATTTATGTTAGAGTTAGATTTAGGATTAGGAATTAGAGTAGAGTGATTTATATAATAAAATAGTAAAATTGCTTAATAAAAACTTTTTGTTAAAGTATTAAGATAGTTTTTTATACTGATTTTTGAGAAATAAGTAATTTTTGACAAAGTGATGTTTGTTTGAATTTTCTTTGCAGTTTAGAAAATCTGTGCTACAAACTTGACACACATTTAAGCAATACTGGTTTCAATTTTTAAAAATTTGATAGTGATATGATATATGAGTACATGTTACTAGTCAGTTTTCAGGACTGAAATGTAAACTTTGAAGTAGAGTTCCTATCCATTATCTGTTTATCTATTTATCTATTGAATATCCAGATCTGAATTTATTCAAATATCTGTTTTACTATTAATATTCAGATAAATTCAAATACAGATATATAAATGATGGATTTATCTGAATTGGATTTCTACTTTGAAGTAAAAACCTAATTTTAGAAGCATGCTTGTATAAATTGCTAGAAAAAGAAAAGATTGTATTTTTTAATTTTATATAACATATGCATTAATGTTTAGTTGTAATAATAATACTTATCAATATTGACATGAGAATTGAAATCTTCCTTTAAACATGTAGTGTATTAGTTTTTTCAGGATTAGGTTATAGCATCTGTTAAAATAAGAGTAATAAGTATTAATGATATAAGATTAGGTAAAAATAGTATGTTTTAGCAAAAGCAGATAGTAAGTATAAGTGGAAAGTATCTGTTAGAACAAGAATATTAAGCATTAGTGAAATTATAATCATTTTGATTTAGCACAAACTTTGATTTGAAACATATAAGCTGTATCAAAATTAAAATCAAAACTAGAGTTCTGGATGAGAATTTTGTAATCTTTTCCTTAATTATTCTAAAACACAATTTAACCAACTTGAAAACATCAATCTACCAAACAATTTGCAAAATTTTTATTCTGAATAATCTGATTTTGAATCAGACTAGTTTTAGTATTGAGTACAACTTATTTCATTTATGTTTGGACTTACAGTAAATAAAAAATTTTAATAAAACTACTAATATAAAACTGCAATTATATTTTATATTGCAATTTGATTGGTTAGTTTATATTACATAATATTTTCAAATTCAATAATCTCTTAAAACTGATATAGAATCCATCTATCATGCATACTAGTTTGGGGAGAATCAACAGTATATGTATTTTTTTTGACTAATTTAATTTACCTATTGCTATTACTATTTTCAGGAGACATATTAAGGTTAAGACCATGGTTACAAAGGCTAATAAATAAGAAACAAAGTTAGGTTAGTAAATGTCTTTACAATTTTCTTTTAGACTAAATTTACAGCAATAAATAAATAGTCTGAAAAGTACTAATTATCTATTGCTATGATCAGGAGACATACTATAGCTAGAAATAAAAAATAAAATCAGATCAGATTAATTACCTTTATATTTTTTTTCCTTAAACTAAATGAGTGCCTAGAATAAAAACCTAAAAATAAATCTTTAAGTTTATTACTGTAGCAGACTTAGTATTATTATATTATACTATTGTGCTAAGTCTGCTATAGTGATAAATTTAAAGATTTGTTTCTAGATTTTTACTCTATAATACTTAAATTAATGTGAAAGATTCAGATAACTTATTGTTAAAAGAAGAGCTATCATCACAAAAACAACTAGAAAAATAATTAATAAATAAGGTCAACAGCTTTATTACACTGTATTTTATTTTAATTAAATGAATGATTTAGAAAATACTATAGTAATTACCTATTACTATTACTAAAAAAAATGTTATGATTATGACTTGAAGAAATAAAATAATAATAGGTACAAAAAAATAAAAAATAAAGTTTAGATTAGTCTTTTTGTATTATTCTAAATATAGTAAAATGATCTGAAGGATATAAATTAAGATATGCAGCTTATTATAATAATAATTATAAGAAATACTATATCTATAACTAGTATTGCTAATATTTATATTATATGTTTTACTGTTACTTATATTTATACCATCTATATTACTATCACTATATCTATATTTACTAGATTTACTAGGTTCAGTATGCTTACTAGGTTCAGGACTACAACTATGAATGCATTTATAACTACAATCACATCTATGACTATGACTATGACCATATTCATGATCATGTCTATGATTAGAATCTTTATTGTCTGTTATAATATTTTTTTTGTAGATTCATAATTATAATTAAAAAGTTCTTATTAAAATTTTTTTTTAATAAATAAATTTTTTTTTTAAAAAAAAAAAATTAGGTTAAATAACTTATATAGTTATTAGTTTGACTTCTTTCTTTATTATTACTGTTCACTGTATTATAAGAAATTATATTATTAATTAGTAATAAGTCTCTTCTGTCTTTAACCTGAAATTTATAGTCTAGATCCTTTAATCATTTTTTAAAAATGTCTTATTTTATCTATTCACTTGCATTATTTTTATAGATTACAGGTAATACAGAATGATTCTTAATCTTTTTAAAGCAACATGATTTATTAAATTTACTAATAATAAAAGATTTGAGTTTTTCATTATTGGTAAAATTTGTTGTTAACATTATTGTTAATCAACTTTTATTTTAAAAATTAATGAGATATGTCAGTAGTTATTTATTGGATTAGATATAAGTATTGTATAGAGAAAACCAGAAAGTAAATATTTAAGTTATTATTATAGCTTCTATTACAGTAATAACTTAAATATTTACTTTCTGGTTTTCTCTCTGAAGTACTTATAATACTTTTTTTTTTAGATACAGGACTGGATAATAAAGTTTAATTAAATTTTATTCTATAGAATAATTCTGTTTTATTAGTATTAAATATATTTTTGAGTCAATACCTTGCAATTAGAGTTCTCAATTCATTTTGCATTTTTGGTAATAATTCAATTAGTGCAATATTGACTTCCTTATAAATTTTATACACCTTTAAATTATTTCTTTACTTAAATTCACTTAACTATCCATTAGAAAACTTTATATTTTTAATAGAAATATTTATAATTATTACATAATAATGATTTTTTCATATAATAAATTTTCTGAAATTGATAAACCAGATGCTATTGCTTGATTAACTTAAATATTAAGAACTTTTTCTAAATCTGGATGCTTAATCCCTATTCTTATAAAAAATATTATTAATAATCTTATTAACTGTAAAATTCATCTATTTTTCTTTATCAGATAGATTTTTAATATTATTGATTTAATTGATATTTGAAATTAAACTCATTTTTAATCTTATTTTGTGTTTGATTTGAATTTCTTTGTTTAAACAAATAGATTTCTTTTTTTAGCATATAAGAAATAACCATTCTTTTTTTCTTTTATTTAGTATTAGATTTTATAATGTAACTTTAATGTTTTAATTTTAGATAATCTACTAACTTTTATTATTATATATATAATGATAAGATTAGATATATATATATGTTCTACAAGAGAAACTAAATACATATTGATTATTTGTTATTATTACTGCACTACTGATATATCAATATTTACTACAGTGATAACTTAAATTATCAATTTTTGGTTTTCTCTTTGTAATACTTAATTTTAAAGCTATTTAAAGAATTTAATACTGTAATTAAAAGAAAGTTTAAAATTTAACCATTATTATAAATAGTTAAAGTATTGTTTTTTTTAAAAAAATATTAATTTGCCTAACCATTACCTATATTATTTGTGATTATAATTAGGAAAAATTATATATACTTATTATTATATAGTTCTTAAAAAATTATGTGATAATGATTATCATATTAATGTGATTATAAATAGGGAAATTAAACTAAAAAAAAATGGGTCTAAAAATTTTTGTGACTTTATTAAGGTTGTGATTATAGCTAGGGTGACTATAGCCAGGGTTGACTGTACTTTTTTTCGATTTTATAAAAATAACCAAAACCGTATAGCACTGCATACAGTGGTTGTCACTCAATTCCTGAAAGTTATTACCCATCAACACATTTCCCGACACTGTAATGCCGACATGATATTTCATCTACAGCACAAGATATATATTTGACATACCATGTTTTCAACAATCCTTTTCTTAGACAAGAATTTCTCCGACAATCATTCCTCAACATAAAATTGGATTTAGATTTAGGGTTAGCTGATTTAGAGTTAGTGTTGGTGATAATTATATGTTGGAGATTAATTTTCGGGAAAATATCTTGTCTAAGAAAAGGATTGTCGAAAACATGTAGTATCAAATATATGTATTATCGAAAAAATGTAGATGAAATGTCATGTCGACATTACGGGTGGAAATGTGTTTGCGAGTAAATAACTTTCGGGGAATCGTGCCGTAACCCATATCGTACCCATATATTAGGAAATACTTATTTCTGCAAGTGATACAAATCACGTGCTAATAGTAAAAATTCGGTTATGTTATTTCGCTAAAAGCATGTGAAAATTTGATCAGTGTTAGGGTTAGTGTTAGTGTAAGAAATGTAGTATAGTAATCTTGCCCAATAATTTGTTTGTTAGAACGTCAAAGGTGATTTCTTAGGCAAAATTTTGAGTTACCAGTGATGCTTTGAAAAAATCTCGATTTTACGATCTTGCGATCTACATAGAAAGTTTCCTTTTTTGGATTTGTATCACTTGCATATTATACCGACTATAATTTTTACGATAACTTTATCGTTATTGATACGTATGCACATTTAATAAAAAAATTTTTTTTTTTGGTTAGTTTCAATATTAACGCCCGTAATTGCATGTTGATATTTATTTTTTATCTTTATCGAAAATTTCTACCGTTATTGCATATATAAGGTTTTTTTTTAAAAAAAAACAACAATCGCACTTTCTAATTTTATAAATTTTATAGTAATTAATCATCCCATACATTATGGTGGTTGTGCTTTTAAAAATAGTGGCTTCTTGGATAACTAGTTTCGAAGTTGCTTTATCTCAATATTAAATTTAGCCGCTGTTTGATTATTGCTATGACCACTTTTATAATATAAAATAATGGCAATTTTTTCTCGTGCATTCCACTGTAGCCGTGCTTTTCTTATAATTGTAGCATGAACTGTTCTTTTGTTTGCTCGTAAACCCATTTAATATATTTATGTAAAGAAGTTTAATCATAAACCCTTAACTGCAAATAAATAATGCAATTACTATTTGTCCGGATCAATATCATAGTACCCAGTACCCCTGGGGTATTATTTAATTTATCTTGGCATTTCTGAGAAAGACTGGGGGCACTGTATGCAGGCTGTATGGTAACGATAAGGGACCGAGATTGGCCCGGGTCCGGGTCCGTAAACATTATGTAATCGGTCCTGATAAGGACCGGGACGGACCGGACCGGACTAATGCATCCCTAAATTAGATGCTATGCTGTGATTAATTCTACCATTGGTAAATGCCGTAATTCAGCAATCCTACCAGCAACTATCGCTATACTCCAATTCAAAAGTAATTCTCTATATATGCTTGATAAATTTCATCTAACTGAACTTATTTCTGATAGTATTGTTAATACTGAACAACACAAATCACACAAGATTCCATAAATAAAATCTGTTATCTTTACGGAGATAGCACTTACACATGCCCAATCAAAACTGGGGAAAGAAAGAACTTTCTGCTGGAATTATTATTTATTGTGTAATATCCAACGTTACACAGATTTCTCAAACATAACACAAACTATACTATCATAAGTGGAAACCGTTAAACCAAGTTCGATAAATGTTTTAATTAATGTTTAGATGAGGATTTGTAAATTATCAATTATCTAGAATCTATCTTTTTTCCATTTTTATTGCATCAGTTTTCATAAATTTTTTATGTTTAATACATGTGATAAGAATGTTAATAGTCTGGTTTGATTCCGTCTGGTATACCTTGGGTTCAATCTAGACCAGTCATATATTTTCAATATTTAAGTAATATAGGCATATCCAAAGCAGTTCAGACTAACGAATGACGAAATATTCGTCATTGACGAATCGCGAAGCACGTACTGAATCTGTGATCTGTGACAGGTTATTTCGATCATCGCTGATTGTACCAATAAAATCACAAGATCTCGTGTAACTTAAAAAATCGAAAAGCATTGTAAAAACAGAAAAATCGCAAATAACTCAAGATTTTACTATGATAACCTCCGTTTGGCTTCCAAATAAAAGTTTTCAGCACGAAATTTTAGTTATATGGGAACATTTTTAACTATCGAGCCTACGTAAATTCTGATCTTTGGGCTCTTTCGATTTGGTAATCGGCATAACCTGTCACAGATTCAGTACGTGCCGTCAGACGAAACCATTTCATCATTGCAAAAATAATTTCGTCACCCATCATTAGTTCAGACTGGTTTTGAGACTGAGATCAGGCTTATTTTCAAACTGGACTTAAGTTTAGACCAGATATCAATATCAGAATGATTTTTTATTAATGATTGTAAGAAAAAATTATCATTGTTATATTAAAACTTGTGATGCTATTAGTTAGATTCGTGTGAATGCAAATTCTTTTACCATGACTATTCCACATACTGTTACTATTGTCTTGGGAAAGCCGAACAAGTTTAACAATCCAATTTAGTACCAATAATGAACTAGTATCATAGGCAGAAGTTTGTCTGATTGACTAATAAATTCAGTTTAATTTTACATTATTTATACAGTTTAGAGTACTTTTTAAAAACTAAGCATAATGAAATAAAAAAAGCTGGACAGAAGGTTTCATTAGAGCTGTAGGACTCCACAGCCAAACATAAGATCTAATTCTCGTCCGTTTAAAAAAGTTAGTAAACTGTAGAAATAATGTAAACTTAAATTGAATTTATTAGCCAATCAGACGAACTTCTGCCTATGAGAACTAGTATAAGTAATTATTACAAGATGATCGCTCTATATCAATTGTTAGGATGGCTTATAAAGTAATTAATTGAATCGGATTGGAAGTTAGTCATTTAAATGTATCGATTACGAGAATGTAATTAATTATACGGAACAATTTAATTGATTTAGTTAATTAGGAGTATAATATTGTGATAATAAAGAAATTCCAAGGTAATTCGACAGTAATATATTGAACATAATTTAGCGAGACGTTTATAATTCAGATTTTATTAATTAAGAAAAAAACACAATAAAATCCAAAGGACTTTAATTCAAACTTTTGAGAAATCGATTTTTTTATTACCAATTAATTTAAGACATCAAAGACTGAGACGAGAATTCATTCCTTTTATATATTTTTAAATTTACATGAAGAAACCTTCATTACAATTTGAAAATTCATTCCCCTCGAAACTATATTTCTTGGATTACGGCTTCATTTTCAACAAAGAGAAGCAATGGGAGAACCCGTAGCGATAGTTTGACGCGTATTACAACCAATTCGGGTGCGATCTCCTATATACAAACACAAATAGAAAATTATTTACAAATAACGATAAACAAGCCCATAATAGGCATCTTGTTTATCGAACTTCACAAATGTAACAGAAATTTTCGTGGAATCGATAAAAGCAAGTATGGAAAGCGGACAAACATTTGGACAATCGTATTGTCAAAAATATCGATAGTGAATATCAAACATGTGAAGTTTGGATAAACAAAAAAAAAAAAAAAAAAAACTGGTGGTACATTAATAAAATTGGACCACATATTCTACAGATAGATTTAAACACTTCCGTGACTCAATTCAATGTTACAAATTTGGGGTTTCATTCTTGCTAATGTCAATACTAACTTTAAATCTTTTATGGTCATATGGCTTAGGCGCTGAGAAATTGCCAATTTTTTTTTAAAAAAAAATTTTTTTGAGCTTAACTAATCCTAGAAACGTTTTTCATTTAAGGAACAAATATTGTTATCATAACTTATTATAGAATTTATAATATAAAAATCAATTTTCCGCAAAACTTGTGTACCGTGACTTTTGATGTAGAGATAGCTACCCTAACCTTACGAAATTCAGTATTGTCCACTGGAACATTCCAGCAGAAGTTACTAGAACTGGACTTGAACGGAAGTTCCAGTGACTTTTATTTAGTTGGTTTAGTATTAATTCATATATATTCAAGTTTGTGAATACTTGTTATTTAATCATATTTGCCTATCCGTATTCTTATGAGTGTACGTACAAGTTGCGACAAACCAAAAATAGTCAAAAGGCGAGTTTTTTTAGTACTTTAATAATTGGGCATACAAAAATCAATTGCAGATCTATTTAGTAAATAACTCCTACATGCATATTCAAGATTTTGCGAATGCGGGAATCGAAGGAATAGAAGTCATTAAAAAAGCCGTATAACCATACACATCATAGTATCGCATATTAAAAAACTATAAATTCCTGTCAATATAATATTCTAGTATGGATATCCAATAGGGTTCCAGATTTCCGATCAGTAAGGTCATTACTATTAACGGTTATTTTAGCCAATTAAATTCTAATGTATCATAGATCAAGAATGACACTTTAAATCTTATTTACTCTGAACGCGTAAAACAATATAACTTGAAAACAAATTAAGGCTACAATCTTATTTTACAAATTATTGACTTGGAAAATGTAGAAAATACAATGTTAAAACAATAACAATATAATGTTGAAAAAAAACAGTAAAGCTATTCTAGCTCTTTGAACCCTGATAAGTTTACAGTAGCGCGTATCTCTACCGTTAGGCAACACTTACTTGCGTTCAGATGTTTGGAGGCAGTTTTCTGCTGTCCTTAATCATACAGTTTAAGGCTCGTGTCTCAGCACGGTATACAGTTGTAAACGTTATCATGTTCTTTCATTAAAACAGATAAATAACTAATAATTACGCTGCGTTAATTTCTTTTTGCAAAACTACAGAAATATCAAGATAAATATAACATTCCAAAAACAAGTTAGCAAAATTTTTAACTCATCATTCTTCACTGCCGAAATTAAATGAACAAATGTAACATCAACTTACATTACCACAATATCAAACAATAAGTTTTATAAAAAATTCGAACCAATCCTCATAATAAACTTATAAAAAATTTTAGAATCAAGAAATCAAAACTCATCGGTCAATTATGAGAGGCATCAACTATTGCTCAATTATACACTAATGCAAATCGTGCTGCTAGACATGCAACACAAGCAAATAAAGCTGAAATACTATGCTGGTATAAATATGCTGAAGGGTATTAAATAGTAATTATATTTCTAGAACAGCAAAATCTATTACTTATAGAAAAAAGAACACAAAGAGCCAATACTACATAATTTATTTAAGACTATCGGTGTTGACAAAATTAATCGAATTAGGTCATATAGAGCAAATGAACTTTCTAATCTCTATGAACAACATATTAAAATGAACGGATGAAGTCATTTGCACAAATCCTGTAATCAAAAAAAACATGTGAGATTAATAATGCGAATATAGGAATAAACTTCATAGCCATGACAAAATTGTGATTTACACGCAAAAGATTGGTTATGTATAGTTAAAAGAACAAGGTTAGGAACAAAAGTAACTAATTTAAAAAGTTAGTTGAAAAGAAGAAAAAAGTTTTTGGAGTATTCTTTTTAAAATAAATAAGTGTCAGTACTAGCTGGCAAATAAATTCTTTGGTTACTGAATGGTTTGAATATTTTATATCATAAAAAAATAAGAAAACTTTTTTTTTAAATTAATACTTTTTTTTATTTTTAAATGCAATAAATGAGTTATCAAATGAATCAAATAAGAAAAAACAGTTTCAAATAATGAAAGCCTAATTACAAAGTAATGATTTTGTTTGTTTTTCTTTTTTGTAATAATTAGATGGGGTTAGATGTTTACTTACTAGTGCATGATTATTTTTGAAATTTTTATGCATAAATTTTAAGAATAACTGTATATAATAAAAGATTAACCAATAACGCTATACATGATTTTACAAATAAATTTTTTTACCAATCCAATTTCTTATCACCACAACCAACACTACTACATCCCATTGCACTTCCTACTATTTGTACACCAGTCTCCTTTGATTTCTTTGCTGTATGACTTTTTTTAACCATCCATTTTCCGGTTCCAAGTATTCTGTCAAGCTCCTGAGGTGGTGGAAGATAAAGCCAAACATAGTTATCTTCAAGCTTCAAGTCAAAGGTCATTAATTTCAATCCTACGTCTCCTGATAAACATTCACCGGTTTCCAGGGCAAAATTTTTCTTATGCATAGGACAACTAACATGAAGAGCTCCATTTTCATCATCGCCAATCAGCCCTTGAGACAGTACAAAAGCTCTCTTATGTGGGCACATATTCTGCGTTGCATACCAGTGTTTTCGTTCGTCCATATTAAATATAGCAATTTGAGTATCAGAATATTTTATGACTTGACCTGAATCTTCAGGGAAAGAATCTATTGGGGCTATTTTAACCCAAGATTTTTGATCGGATTTTTGATCGGATTGTTCAATAGATTTTTCTGAAAATTCTTTTGGCCAATCTGCGGGACGTCGTTGTCCACGTTCAGTAATTTTTTCTACAGAATCTTGGGTATCTTGTGTGTTAACAAATTGTCTAAATTGAGTTCGTTTTACAGGATCTTTGATTACTCCTGCCCATTCACATTGATACGTGTTAATAAGACGTGCCATATCTTCTTCCAAGTCTTTACATATTCCTAAATGGTCGTCAATAATAACCTTGCGAAGATACTAATTAAAAATATATATAATGTTTGATTAATACAGTAATACCAAAATGTTTATAAAATTAAATCATTTAATATAAGTGATTACTTACATCAATACCACCATCCTATATTATCGTGTTACAGACATAAACAATATTAATATTTATAGATTAGCATTTCATTTTTTAATAACAAAAGCAATAAGCAATTATAATAATAATTATTCAGGGAATACTATACCATTTTTTCAAGCCATCTTGCAGTACGTGTCAATTTATCAGCAGTATGAATATAGTACATCAAGAAACGGTCTAAATATTTAACACACAATTCTTCTGGAACATCTTTTGCCAATAAAACAGCATGCTTTGGTTTTGAGCCACCATTTCCGCAAACATAAATATTAAAACCTTTATCGGTAGCAATAAGACCGAAATCTTTTCCTTGTGCCTCTGCACATTCTCTAATACAACCCGATACACCACCTTTTAATTTATGTGGAGATCGAATTCCTTTATAACGATCTTCAATTCGAATTGCAAATCCAACAGAATCACCAATTCCATATCGACACCAAGTGGATCCTACACAAGATTTGACAGTTCTCAAGGCTTTTCCATAAGCGTGACCTGATTCAAAACCAGCGTTTACAAGTTCTTCCCAGATATCAGGTAAGTCCTGTTTTGCTGCACCAAAAAGGTCAATACGTTGACCACCAGTAATCTTTGTGTACAAGCCGTACTTATCAGCAACTTGACCAAGTACAACAAGTTTTTGTGGTGTAATTTCACCACCCGGTACACGTGGAACAACAGAATAAGTACCATCACGTTGAATGTTTGCAAGAAAACGGTCGTTGGTATCTTGAAGATTGGAATGATCTAAAATTGGATCATTCCACAAACTGGCTAGAATAGATGCTATTGCAGGTCTGCAAATTTCACAACCACGTGAACCTTTTTTACCAATAGTATCAATGATTTCTTTGAACGTTTTCAATTTTTTAATTTTAACAAGTTGAAATACTTCAACACGAGTATATTCGAAATGAGGACACATGTTTTCAGTAATTTTTTGACCCATAGATTTCATTTCTGCCTGGAAAATTTCTGTCACCAAAGGAATACAACCTCCACAACCAGTACCAGCTTTGGTACATGATTTGACTTCACCAATAGATCGACAATTATTGGTTCGAACAGCAGCTCTAACTTGACCTTTAGATATATTATTACATGAACTAATTAAAAAATAAATTTATAAATTATTAATAAAAAAAAAACAAATAGTTATTAGAAAAATAATAAGTATAAATGAAGATTACCAAATCTGAGCTTCATCAGGTAAATCATCAGCACCTGGAGCTTGACCAGATTTAACACCAAGGATAAGTTCACCAGGAGCCATTGTCAATGGTTTTTTTGATTTATATAAAGCATGAAGTTTTGCATAATCATTAGTATCACCAACCATTATTCCACCTAAAAGATGTTTACCATCTTTTGTAAACAAATATTTTTTATAGACTGAACCAAAAGGATCTTTATAAACCAAAGACATTGCAACGTCATCACCAGCAAAATAATCACCAAAACTGGCGACATGAACACCAAGAAGTTTAAGTTTGCATGAAAGATCACTACCCATAAATTTTCTTCTAAAACTACTAGAAGAAGACAAATTTGCAGCAACGACTTCAGCCATTTCATAACCAGGAGCAACCAAACCATAAACCATGCCGGCATGTAAAGCTACTTCACCAACAGCAAAGATATTGGGATCATTTGTTTGTAATTGATCATCAACAAAAATACCACCTTTTGGGTGGGTTGAAATATCAGAAGCTTTAGCAATCTCGTCACGTGGCCTAATGCCCGCAGCAATGACCACAATTTCAAATTCAGAGATATGACCATTTTCGAATAAAATTCCTTTTGTCTTTCCATTATCATCAATAACAATTTCTTTTGGAGGTAATGATAAAGAAGCTTTTATACCCAATTTTTCAATTTCACGTAATAATATCTTTCCACCTTTTCGATCCAATTGTCGAGACATAAGTAAAGGATTTCGTTCCACGATAGTTACTTCCAAACCCAAATCATATAAAGCTTTAGCAGCTTCAAGACCAAGTAAACCACCACCAATAACAGCGGCACGTTTAGCGGATTTACTATAAGAGATCATATTATTCAAGTCATCTATAGTACGATATACAAACACACCAGGTTTATCCGCATTTGGAATTGGTGGTACCCAAGCGTAAGAACCAGTAGCGATAATACAATAATCGTATGGAACGATAAGACCATTAGAAGAATAGACACATTTATTTGATCGATCAATGAGAGTGACTTTGTCATTCATATGGACGGTGACGTCATTTTCTTCGTACCACGATGGTGGTTGCATTAATAATCTTTCTTCAGAACGATGAGTAAAATATTGAGTCAAGCCGACTCTATTATAGGCCACTTAAAAAAAAAAAAAAAAATCAATTATTATTAATAAATGACTTGTACGTTACTTTTTTTTAAAAAAATGAAGGATTAGACATGTAGTATTACCTAATGATTCTTCACAAAAAGTTTCAATTCTGAATTGATTTCTTACATCAAATTGTAATAATTTTTCTATAAAATATAAACCGACCATACCAAGTCCAACAACCACAACGGTTGATTTAGATTCTTGGACTGGTAAAGTCGTTGATACATCATTTGGTGGCATGATTACTATGTTTTTTTTTTTTATGTATATATAAAAATAATGCTGTGAGTAAAGTGAAAAGAAAGTATGAATTGATTGAGATCAGGAAAAAAAAACCATTTATTAACTCTGACTGATAATTACGTCATGAATTGAACGACATGCATAATCAGACCGCAACTATTCTTAATTTACTATTAAGGATTTTAATTTACGTATCAGTTATATCAGTTGATCGATTTGCGTTATCTAAAGGTTGACTTTCTGATAACTTCTTGATAACGATAAGATAAAAGATTTGATTTCAAGGCAAAACATAAACAGGTTTTGAAAAGCAATGGCAGATCATCCAATTATAATGAATCAACATAAATGATTTAAAAGAACAAGAAAGGTTTTAGAATCTCGAAAGCCTCGTGTAACCGCGGCAGATTTTAGTATTTTAGTAACCACCGTCGTATGACTACTAAATTTAGTATATCAAATGTTTATTATTTTCTTATCATTTGAAGATAACGATAGAGATAGCAATTTCCGACTGTTCGGATTTTTTTGAAGTGCGCCAATTATTTGCATCATGCTGCCAATTTCACTCAAAATAATTAAATATATTTTTGTCCAACAAAATGCCAAACTAGTATTTGTTCACCTGATTTTAAATTATATATCATTTATGGTTATTAATAAACAATTTAAAAAATGCCAACTTTAGAACACTGTTTTTGGTTAATCAGACTGCATAAGATAAGCTTTAGTCATACGTCGTGCCATGCACACATTTTTTTAAAAAAATTTTTCGCGTTATCGGCCTATAATATTTAGAAGATAAGAATAATAAACTAAATATTTTTATTTATTTCTGATTCTAGAACTTCTTAATTTATTAACAATTTATGAATTCTTAAAAGTTAATAAAATTTCATAAAGTCAAAAATAAAACGATCCGAAATAAAAAAAGCGAAAATCTTGTTATCATTAAAGACTTGTCAATAACAAAACAAAATAAAAATAAATCCTCAAGTGATCAAGGTTTGGAATCGTTTGGCGAATCGGACTAAATTAATATGTTTCAAAAAAAAACGCATTCGCATAAAGTTTTTTTTTTAGAGATCCAAATAAAAAAGTTACAAATACGCCGATCAGTTAAAGAGAACATTATAATACACAATATTTTAATTCCAAAATCACCCGATTGTAACTAACTTTAGCGCGAATCGAAAGTCGTGTCATAAAGTTGTGTAATTTCGATAGAAAAGGAAGGAATAACCAGCCGGATAATGCAATTTGATGCAAACCGACAAGACAAAAAGTTATCTTATCGTTATCAGTATACTATGACATATATTTTTGGAAATCCTATTCATTTTAAATTTATCCTAAACTTATTCGAAATAATAATAACACATGATTTGTACAAATATTACAAATGTGTTGTGTTATCTAAAAAAAAAAGCAAAAAAAAACTTTAAAAGAACCCAATTAACATCAAATGATATTTTTATCCCTTTCAATAAAATAATCCCCACTGCCCAAGAAGCGGTAATTTATTCTGTCTTACGGGATCTATCTATTCCATCTAGGAAAAAAATAAAAAAATATATTAAAATTAAAAAAAATGAGTGTGTCTCTCAAAACTTCTCCTCCCCCTACTGTTGATGAAAACGATAGGACAACCAAGGCTAAATCTCTTCATTTATTAAGCTTCTCTAAACCTCATGGTCGAACATTCCACCTCGCGTGGCTTTCTTTTATGACTGCCTTTACTGGATGGTTCTCTATAGCTCCCTTATTACCTTATATTGCAAAAGATTTAAAACTAAACAATGACCAAAAGCAAACTAGTAATGTATGTTTATTAAATTAATTTATCATCAACTATCATATTAATTATAACTATATTAATTATAGCTATATTAATTATAACTATATTAATTATAACTATATTAACTATAACTTTATAACTATAACTATATTAATTATATATATTATTTTTACAGATACCTAATATATCATCTACTGTTATTTTCCGTATTCTTGCCGGTGTCTTCTGTGATCTTATAGGGCCAAGACGCGTAATGGCTGCTTTACTTATAGCTGGTGCTGTACCTACCGCTCTTGCCGGTCTTTGTAATGATGTTAATGGTTTTTACGCTGTTCGCTTTTTCATTGGTATCTTGGGTGCTACCTTCGTTCCTTGCCAGTTTTACACTACCCAAATGTATGAAAAAAATGTTGTTGGATCCGCTAATGCTTTCGCCGGTGGTTGGGGAAATTTAGGTGGCGGTCTCACATATATATTAATGCCTTTGGTATTTGACGGTCTAGAATCAAGTATTCAGAACCCAAGCATTACATGGCGAGTCGCTCTAGTCATTCCTGCTGGTCTCTGTATAATCGTCGCAATACTGAATTTAATTTTTGCTGATGACTATCCTGGTGGTGATTGGCTTAAGCGTAAAGATTCTTTAAATGGAGTAAATGGTCATACTGTAAATGGTCATGTTGAAGATAAAGTCGCTGAAGTTCACGAAGCCAATGAAAAGAAAGCCGATAATTATCCTGTTGATGATGATACTAAATCTAAAGGGAATAAGAAATTGAAGGAATTGTGGAGAGCATTTATCAATCCAAATGTTATAATGTTGATGATGCAATACGCATGCACTTTTGGTGTCGAATTGGCAGTTGATGGTGTTATTGGTGATTTCTTCATTTCTCAGTTTCACCTTCTTGTTACTGGTGGTAATTTTATTGGTGCTATTTTTGGTCTCATGAACATTTTCTCTCGAGCAACCGGTGGAATATTATCTGATGTTGCAAACCGAAGATTTGGAATGCGCGGTCGTTTGTTTTGTCAATTCTTTGCCTTATTCTTAGAAGGCTTGTTTTTACTCGTTTTCCGATTCTCGCTTGATACCTTGCCATCGGCTATTGTTGTTATGATTTTCTTTAGTTACTTCACTCAGGTAAATATTTTTTTATAATCGTGTATGTACTTGACGAATTTATTATTATTATTTTTTATTAATTCATTATAATGAATTACAGGCGGGTTGTGGTACAACATATGGCATAGCACCATACGTAGACCCTGAAATATATGGTACAGTTGCTGGGTTAATAGGGACAGGTGGTACTATTGGTGGTATAGCATTTGCTTCAGTATTCAAACTTTATGCTAATTCACTTCAAAATGGATTCATGGTAATTGGATTAGTGGTTATGTGTATCTCATTCACCACTTTTCTCTTGAAAGTTACAGGTGAAAGGTTGATTCCGATAAAAAGACTAAAGTAAAAAATTTTTTAATCACAAACAAATATCATTTTCTCATAACATTGAAAATTAAAACCCTTATGCGATATTTTACAAACATTTTATAACAATTTTGTATAACGACTTTGTATAACTTTTTATTAACAACTTCAACAATTTTCTATAACAAGATTCTTTTTTTTATAATTGCTAATTAACATGTATCAATAGGAATTTCTTATGTCTGTTTTTTTCGTTAAAAAAAAATAGTTATGGTTTTTTTTTTTTTAATAATAATTTGTTTTATCATAAATCTTATAAAAATTAAAAGTGATTTTATCACACGATTTATGGTATAAAAACATAATTGTTTTGAACAAATTCAGTGAATCAAAAATATCATGTTTCAAGAATGTCTTGCAATTTATTGTCGTTCGCACTGATGTCTAGGATAATTTCTTAAACTAATTATATACGTAAAATAAGGATGGTCTTGCCTAAAAGACTTTTTCGTACGTAGAATATCTTAACTGAATTCAAATTGATATTAAATCCGTTTAAAGTATAGAAATCAGATAACGATAATCGATAGTTGAAATTAGGATCTTTGAGGGATTGTTACACAAAATTCAATCAGAAAGAAAAGAATCCAAGAGCTAGCAAAATTATGTATTTACAAGAAAAAAATTAATAATATATTGAATAAAAATTAGTAAACAGCCTGGGAAAAATAATGTTTACACCTATTTTTCCGATTTTAATTGTTTAGCTTATGTCAAGTTGTCAACCTATTTTTAAAATTTTTCTCGTTACGCCTAATGCTAATCACATTATATTTCATGCGTTTAAATGCATTGTTATTTGAAGTGCAGTTACAGGAGAAAATTCTTATGATTGGCAGATGTAAATCAATTACCCAAATAATTTATTTATACGGTTTTAAATTACCTTTTTACTTAGATAAGAGAGGTGGAACCAATTTACTATAATATTAGACTGCCGGGAAACCCCGAATTTCATAAATACTAATTTTATCCGTATTCAGTCAAGTAGGAAACCTGCCATGCCTAAAATAACTTTTGCATGCCATATGGCATGCCATTTAGTAAATGGTATGCCATACAAGTAAAAAAAATTACAAACTTTTTTTTTTAACCAATTAGATTGTGTTAATATAATTTTAAACGTTACTTCTAACTATATCACGTATAATTAAGATACATACTGTACGTATGTACGCCTAATGAACCTTAGGTTCTTTGCGTGCCAGTAACATGCTACTGTTGGCATGCCACGGTGGTATGCCCATCATGCCAGGTTTCTTACTTAGGAGTAATTATTTGTTGCATATTTATATATTACTATATATATACTGGTTACATACAAGTTTTAAATGCCAAGTTGATTAAAAGAAGTATTATAAGTTTGAATCTTAAAAAAATAAGTATACATATTGTAAAGTTACAGAAATAAATTATTTTTTTTTACTTACGTACAACATATATAAAATTCGTATAACGATCAAATTTGTATTCTGATCGATTCGATCCCAATCGATTCGTATCCTGATCAATTTTGTATCCCAAATAAATTGATCCTGATCAAATTTGTATCCCAAGCAATTCTTATCTTGGTCAAATTTGTATCCCGGTCAATTCGTATCCTGAACAAATTTGTATCTCAATTAAATTCGTGTTCCAATCAAATTCATATCCTAACTAAAGAAAGGCAATTTTAGAAACATATTACTATGTAACTATTAGGCCACACAAATTTTAATTTCTTGGTTTTCATAACATGAAATTCTGGCCGGCCGACTTTTTTTTAAAAAAAAATCTCATATATATCAATTTTTAAAAACAAAAAAAAATTATTTTATAAATTTTCGAAATTTGACCCGGCCGGATTATGAAAATTCAATTAGGAATACAATCGGATCGTAAACTCAAATTACAGTTGTTTTCATTATTTTTGGAACATCTGGTAAAAAAATTGACCGAATGATTGTTTGGCTGATCCGATAAGAGTCTGATCAGGGGTACCGAAAATTAATTGCTGTAATAAACAACAATTACATTTAAATTAATTGCAATTAAATTTTTATGCAAATACGATTAAGTAAAATTGTAATAAACAATTACATTTAAATTAATTGCTAATAATTGCAATTTTGCTACGATATAAATTTAACTTAATAATATCGAATTTTTAAAAATAAAAAATCAATACACCAAATAAAATTAGCATTTATGATAAGGATAACTCAATTAAAAGCATTGAGCACACTTGTGATATAGTTAGATGTAGCAGAGTTTACTGTAAATATATCATTTGATTCGCTATTGGTAAAGCAACTTAGAATGTTCGTGTCTTGCTTTAAATGATTCATTAAATTCGTATAACCCGATTCTTTTGGGGGTTATCAGCTGTGAACCAGGCGCTTACCATCATCTTTAGGTTAAAAAAGCCTTTATGTAACACTTGTTTGAAACCTTTGCGCTCATTGGAACCAATGTAAAATAGATATTTAGAGCGTTATTTGATGTATGTGCCTTCGAAAACATAAATTGTGCAAGTTGCTAAAAGAAATCAGTTGATAGTTTTAATTTTTTTATTCAATTACGTATAAAGTTAAATTACAAGTTTTTGAAATCACGATCAGTGAAATATACTTTTGCATCTGTTTTATTACAACACGTTTTACAAACTCCGCAATTAATTGATTAATTGTGGCTGCGCCACCAATTAATTATTTGAGATCAATTGTCACTTTGATCAAATTTGTAGATCGCGATTGTCGATTGTACATAGTTGTACGCGATTTCTCGACAATCATCTGATTAAATTCGATAAAAATTGTTTTATTTGAATTTTATGAATCTATTGAATTCAAATAAAAATAATATCCATCAAATTTTATCAGGTGATTGCTGAGATAACATCGCTCAAAGTTTTTTTTAAAAAATGTCAAAAATAGAAGCTGCGCCAAATTTTCCTAAAGTTTGAGCGAAGATATTTCAGCAACTATTTGATCAAATTCGATAAAAAAATTTTTTATTGATGTTACATGTATATTAAAACTGGTGGTGGATTATATCCATCACAATTGAATTTAACATAAATAATTTAATTTATAATTGATTACAGATGAGAGAGATTCACTTTGAATTAGGTACTGTCTCTGCTATATAAATTCTGTGAATCTATAGGATTCAAATAAAAAAACTTTATTAAATTTAATTAGATGGTTGCTAAACTATCTTTGTCAAACTTTAGGAAATTTGATGCAACTTCTATTTTTAATGTTTTAAAAAAAACTTTGAGCAATAATATCTCAGCAACCACCTGATCAAATTCAATAGATTTTTTTTTATTTGAATTCAATATATTCATAAAATTCAAATCAAAAAAATTTTATCAAATTTGATCAAGAAATCAAACATGCAGTGATCTACAAATTTGATCAAAGATAATTGACTTTATAATTAAATATTTGGTGCTTGATTTTGATTTCAGTAAAGATTGATTATATAATAATATATTTATTTTTGCTAAGTGATAATAATAATATAAGTGCAGTACAAAAAACAATAAGAAGTGCAAGCAGTAATTAGTATTAATCAAATATTTATAGTATTATTTGAGTGTTGTTAAGAAAAAACCTGCCATTAGACTTTCAATTATATTAGTACCAGTTATAATCAATATAATTTGTTAAAGATTATATTTAATACAAAATATTATTGAAAACCTAATAATAGGTTTTTCTAGCATGATTAAAAATTTATTTGTTAATCAAGATCATGTCAATAAAACTTATAACAATTAGTCAATGTTCTTGTCAATTGTTATTTATTCTATAAAAAAAGTACTTATAGAGCACAAATCTAAAATATGTAACAGATTATGCCAAATAGACTGTCAATTAACTTGATGCTCCTTCTGATTGGATAATGTAAATCAATTTAAATTAAACATTATTTATATACAGTTTAAAGTACTGTATTTAAAGATATTAATCAATTTTATTTTTTATCTTTATCAAAATTTAATTGCTTAAAATATATACATATTTTCCTAATAAATGCACTTATAAATAATTAAATATAAGTAGTTATCTTGTCATTAATAAAATAAATTATAGAATTTCTTAATATATACTAATATATATTATAATGTTAGAATATAAATAAACTTTATAAAGACTAGTCCTATTAACAAAAACTAAATATGAGTAATTTATTATAGGAAAGTATTTTGAAACTTATAATCAAATTATGTATTTTGAAATAGATAAATATCTTGACAGACATACTAAAAAAAAAGGCTATATATTAAGTTAGACAGCACTTAGATGTATAAAAGCTTTGAAATTACTTATCAGATATAGTATAAGATTAGAGTATTTAAATAAATAATTTTCTAGCAGATTACAAATATGATAGCTAGTATAAAGCCTTCAGATAAATTAAATTATATATTATAATACTAAATAAAATTACTTCTAAGTTAAATTAATTATGCCAGCTAGAAAGATACTATACATCATGTTTATTTTTTATTTTTATTTTTTTAACTTAAACAGTCATACTAGTACTTTATTAGAATTCTTAAAACTATACAAATTACATAGAATTTTCCTGATATATAAGTCTAGCATTACTCAGCTACTCAAATGATACCTAAGTATATCTATCATACTATCTTAGTTAAAAATAGACTGCTTATTTGACTGCTACTCTACAATTAATCTGATAAGATCTTTTCATAAAGAAACAAAAAAAAAATTTTTTTATGTAAAAGACAAAACAAAAGTATAAGAGTAAATAATAAAAGATACAAATCAAAAATAAAAGGAAAAAGAGAATAAATGAGAAAAAAAAAATATATGAAACTTGCAATTCACAAATATCAAATAATCACAATTGTATGTTTATGTCAGGTTTTTAAAAATTATAAATAATACTAAATAAAAATAACTTTACTATTTTTCTATTTACTTAGATTATTTAACAAAAAACTATATAAAAAAAAAAATCTTT